CACTCCCACCCCTTACTTTTATTCATTTTTGTTAATCATTTTATTGGGGGGGGGCTCTTACAAATCTTTTAACAATTCATCATTCAATTGTATTAGGCACACTTGTACATGTTGCCATTTCCAAAACATTCTTTCTACTTGGGACCTTGGTACCAGCTTTTTGTTCCCTCCCACAACACCCTCGTGACCCCCCACACCCTTGTGAATCCTTGATCAATTATCTATTTGTCTTACACTCTGTTGTCTCACCCTTCACCCACACACACCAGCCCCCTCTACCCTCATATCACACTCCACTACTGTTTCTGAGGGTTTTATCGGTCCTGAATTTCATGTCGGAGAACTTTTATCTGTACCAATGTGTGTACTCTGGTCTAGATGGATTTGTAAAGTAGAAGTGGGTCATAGTGGGAGGAAACATTCATGAATTAGGAATGCTGTTTTGTTAATGCTATACGGCAATCTGGTTGAATCATCCCTTCCTTGTTGTAAGCCTTCCGTGGGTTCTTTTTACTTTTAAAGGGAATCTAAGATATTAAGTTAGTTGTTTTAAAATAGGCCTTAAATCCATTACTCTGAAAATATTCCTCAACCTAAGAGGAATGAAATGGCTGTCCCTTTGTGTGTCCAACTGGGTGTCATTCATCCCGTCTGAAAATCTTCACATGCCAACTTGTTAAAAACCATGCAGCTGTGAATAGCCAGTCATACTGACCCTGTTCTCAGTGCTACCAATTTTCAATGCCCCTCCCTCCCACAGAATCCTGCAAGCCCCCTCCCCCCAGGACATAATCAAAACCTCATTGGGGATAACCTACCAGATGCATCAAGACAGAAAACTTGGGATTTGTTTCCATATCCAGGTTGGCAAACATGGATCATACGAGAATGAAGCTTTGAAACTAAAACACCAAAAGTTGTAAAGTTGTGGAAGAAGCTAAGTCAAAAGACCTGGAGAACTGAAAAAAAAACAAACAAAACATGTTTGGAATGAGAACTGCAGAAGTGGACAACTGTACCACCTTCACAAGCTTCTGAATTCACAAGTGGATTCAATTAGATAATGCTTCACTGAGGCAGGGAGCATGGCTTTGCCCAGGATCTTGGTCATCATGGTCACATAACTTAACCTTTTTTTGCCTGTTTCCTCATCTGTTGTGAGAACAACTTAGAAGTTAGAACTTTTGCCTTTTGCATAGACAAAAGGCTAAGCTGCAGTAGCAAAAACAAAATTTGCTAAACCTCTCAGTATCTAAGTACCCCAAGTCAGAGGCAACTCTGCCTCATACAAGTGTCCATTGCCGTGAGCATGGGATAGGAGCTACACAGGTGGGGTCTTACACTCAGCATTTTGTTGTTGAGAACTTGACATCACCCACTGACCTAAGTGCAAAGGAGGCTGAGAAGTGGAGCGGAGGAAAGCAGACAGACACCCAAAGTTTAGCACTCAACAACCAAACTCACTGCGTCAAGTCGATGCCTACCCTACAGGGCAGGGTGGCACTGTTCCCGTGGGCTTGAGACTAACCAGGGAAGTAGAAAGCTTCATCTTTCTCCCACGGACCAGTCTGTGATTTCAAACTGCTAACCTTTCTGGTTGGCAGTCCAGCATGTAGCCACACCACGGGGGCACTCACATATATCACAGCTGCTTGTAGTTATTCCTTACAGGTCACGGCCACCACCTTTCATATACTAACATGCAGTAACAGTGCTGATGGCGGTGTCTAGGTCTTTCCTTTTGAATGACAAGGAACCAAGAAATTATGAGTTAATTGTGGTAGTTATATAATCTTAAAGGTATCTAAGTTTATGGGCGATATCCAACTTTATCAGGTCAGCCAGATGGTTACTAACTGTAGGTGCGGCCTTCTCACGAAGGCCCAGGGAGCCTCCCAACTCTCTGCCTTCACCTTCCTGCTCCCTAACCCAGAGAGCTGCCAGAGACCTGTCATGTTTCCATATTGCACCCACTGGCTTGTGGTATTCCTGCACTCTGCAGCATTGTATGTGACTGCACAAGTCTTCAGAGGGACTTACAGACTTGAGTTGGCCTGGGCTGGGACATGTTGATATATAATTACTTCTGGATATAAAACTCTTATATCCAGATGTCACTGGATTTGTGTCCCTAGACAACCTGGCCTAACAGTTATAGATTTGATGTGTCCACACACACCGCTGCCCCACTTTCCCACCTTGAGGAAAGACAGCAAAAAACAACCGTGGAAGTGAAGTTGTTGGAAATTAATGCAGCTGCAGAAAAACAGGAAAAGGAGGAGGAGGAAAAACCCTGACCTGGGTTCTAAGTAAAGCTGACTGTTGTATGGGCCTACTAAATCAGCATTGCCTTCACTGTTTCTTGAGATCTTTAAGTCTAACTCCAGGAAAAACGAGTGACAAAAATATTAAGGTGACTTTCAGTCAGAAAGTAAATGACTTAGTCTCCATTATCACCTCTGCAGGCCAGTTCTTATTAAAAAGAAACTGTCTTCCATATCATTACTTAATCACAGACCTGAATAATGCCTCAGCATCTACAGGCTCTGTGGTTTGTATTCTGTTTATGCTGCTGAATTATGGCCTATCATCGATGGACCAGGC